GAAAAAAGAGGGAATAAAGCAGAGATAGATAGAGAGGGAGAGCATTTCTCGAAAATGCTTCCTTAACAGTTTTTTTTGGTGATCAAAGAAGAAAGAAATTGCAAGACGTAGAAGAGACAGCCAAGTATTGAAGAAGTAGAGGGAAGAGGGTGGAGGAGTAGTATGGGGGGGGGGAGTTCTTAGAAATAGGAGACGTAAAAAATACTTTTTTCTTGTCGTCAAAGTTGATTGTCAAAAAAAAGAAAAAAAGGAACATTTACTCATTTTGACATCAGAATAAAACTATTTTTCATCTTCTTTTCTTAAACAAGAAAGTTGTAATAAAAGATCAAACCTTTCGATATATATTTGGAATATTTGGTTGTTGATGAATAGAAGAAGGAAAGATATGAAAAACGAATGAATAAGAAAAGATTTTTCAAACAAAAAGTTATGGAAAATGAAATATATTTTGTGACTTTAATAATGAATAAGTGATGAAGAGTTAAAAAGAAAATCTTCTTTCAACCAAATAACTGACAACACACACAACCACATAGACATAAGCAAGAGATCAACGCTTATGGCATTTTTCCAACAAAAAAAATGGCTTTCAGCGCATGCACAAGACGAAGAGAATTTGAGAATAAGTGAAAAGGCATAACGACTAAACAAGAACAGCTTTTGAAGACTGAAAGAGTTTCAACGAACTATTATCAATATTAAGAGAGAAAATAAAAGAGAGAAAGAGAGAGGGAGAGTGGGAGAGAGAGAGAGAGAGAGAAAGAGGCGACACGGACATGTTGAGAAAAACTTTTGTTTAACAGATTTTAAAAAAGGAAATATTGAGAATCATAATTGCCTCCCATATGATTTGGCATCAAAAGCATTTCGTCCTCTAGCATGAAGAATAAGGTTTGAAAAAAAACGGAAAAGAGAAATGAAAGAATGAAAAGAAAGAAAGAAAGTTGGATAGAAGAGGAAAGGATGAGAAGGATGTTGAGTAAGTGAATGAGGGAAAATGCTAAGCATTTCCACAAGACAGATGATAACATATACTGGAGACTGAGAATGACATAATGATGACGACAAAAGAACAGAAAATAGATAATGGCAAGTCTGGACAAGCTGTGACATATGTGAGAAGGAACGACTGCACACGAAGATGTGAAACAGAAGAAAGAGAGTCTTTTGATGAGAGCATCATCAAATTTACGGATAATATGGCTTACAAAAAGCAACAAGCTTCCCGAAAAAAAAATTCAACAATGAAATGCAGAGAGAAAGGAATGAGAGGAGAGATGAGGAATAGAAAGATGAACAGAAAAACTTCTTCCTGCAAAAGAATGGCCCAAGCTCAATGGACACGAAGCTGAGAACTGGAGATGGACTCAAGAGTTGAATATGGAAATGGAGGGAAGAAAGGCAGGAAAGAATAGAAATATGAAACATGAAGCTTCGATCGAGCTTCACATCTCAAGGGAAAACTCAAGGACGCATGAGTGATCTATAGATATCTACTGATTTGGTGTTCTGGAGAGAAGACAACCTTCTTTCTTCTTCTTACAGAATCTGCTCTAATCATTGGACGATTCATCCACACATTCTCCCGAACTACGCTTAACATCATATTTCCTATGAAAATTTGCTTGACGATAAAATTAGATGACGAAAAGCTAAGAATGAGAGAAGCGTGAACTTACGAATTCAGAATGTCACATGTTTATCCATAGCTTTACCGATTTCTGGTCTGCAACTTGAATTTTGTGAGATCAATTTCGGTTTGAAAGTTCAAAAAAAAAGTTTTTTGACCAATGAAGTAACTAAGTTATTCTTTCAATTTTCGAAATATGAAATTGAAACAACCTTATCAACTTAAAGGAATTCTCATGACAACTACCACCAACACAGAACTTTCAACAAATTATGTAAATATTAAAAAAAATTGAATGAATCCTCACAAATATCTTGTTGGAGATAAATACAGAGAGAGAGAGAGAGAGAGATAGATAGAAAGAGTGAGTGTGTGAGTGAGTGAATTTGAAATGCCACGTGAATCTGACGTGATGTTTGAAATTGTATTCAAAGAGTGTAGATGAGCAGAACGGTTGTGTCTTTTCATTTCGTTTCATCTAATGTTTTCCTTTGTGAGTAATTGTCATCTGTATAGCATCTTAACGGAATTTTTTATTCAATTTCACTCTGCATAGAGGGTTAGAGAGGAAATTAGAATAAAAAAAATATCCAAAAAAAGGAGTATGAAACGAGGAATGTTTGCAATGTCCTGCAGTCCAGTCCATACACAATGGTTAAGACAAACTGAATGTTCTTGAGAAAGGTCAATAATACATTTCGATGAAGATTATAGAGTTTGTACTAAAAAGTTTTAAAACAAACATTTTAAAAATAGGAATTAATGAAATTCTATCAATGAAAATAAATAATGTACAAGCAATTCCATGCTAGTAAGAGAGAGAGAGAGAGAGAGACAAGCTCAAAAATAAAAAAAAATGGCAGAACGAATGACAGAATTATATTCAGCCATTGACTAAAAATAACGTTGGCTAGAAGAATGAGAACAATTGACTGAAAACAAGTGAATGTAACGTAGAATTAAGTAAAGTTTTAATATATCGTCAGCAATTTATTTATTGTTTGTGAGGATAATTATTGATCGCGAATATATAGATGCTTGCTATACACTTCCTTTGCTTTGATTAGGCGAAGCAGAGACTTTTGTGAATTACGTGCACTTCTTTTTTCTTCAATCATGAATGAATGTGAAACGTAAAGGAGATTGAAGTGATTCTGCAGAACGGATGAAAGGAGAGATGAAGAAGCTCTGGCAACGAAGCTGCTCCTGATATTTACCTGTCCTCTGTTTACAGTATCTAAACCTAGGCTGCTCGAACGAAAAGCTTGACGACCATTGAGCGGGGAGCTTTTTAAGTCTTATTTTGAGCCAAAAAAAAGAGGAAACGCGGAAAATAGGAAAACTACTGTCATTCAAAGTACTCGAAAAAATTGTGAGTGATTAAGCAAATAAATAATCGAAATCAGCAGGACAAGCTTCAAACTCTGAAAAGGTTCCGCCTTGTTGAAGTAGGTTTGGATATAAAAAATAATTTCGAGCCATTCAGGACAGCAAGAAACTTAGACTGCATGGAAGAAGATAAATTTTTCCGAGACCTTTCAAATGTCAGAGAAGAAACAAGATAAATTCAAATGACACACTAAGAGCTTAAAAAGAGTTGGATGGAAGAACGATTAGTTCAACAGAAAGAAACACTTTGTGCGCTAGCAGCTAGTAAAGAAGTCATTGTCAATGATCGGAATGCTTTTTTTCTGAAAAAACTTGACACACGTCTCAAAAATGAGATGCCAAATCAAGAAGCTCCATGGGGAAAGTGAGCTATAGAGAACAACACTCGAACAATTAATGAAGCGATCTCAAAAATCCCCTAGAACCCTTCACCGAGTTGGTGAGTCAAATATGAAAACTGATTAAATCAATGATTCAACTTCTATGAAGCAACAGTGTTCGCAGGTAAACCGATAAGAATGAATTCTAATGGCAACGAAAGAACTCACTTCAAAGAAATGCAACCGCTCTCTACGTGGGATATTTAAAAATGATATGCTGGGAACTTCATAATACTCCTCCTTAGCGATATTGATCTCTTGTTATGAACTCTAATTATTGCTTAATTGAAAAGAGGTCGGACAGATTGTTTTTAATAGAGATAAGAGTGATCAAATTAGCAATCACAAACAAACGTCAACGCTGTTGACCAACCAATTTGAAGAAATTCTTCAATCTTCAGCCGAAATAATCATTCGTTCTACACATTGTAAATGAAAAGAGAGACCAATGCGTTTTATATTATTCGGAATGTAATTCTCCGAACTCCAATAACTACTTCATTATCTGGAGAGCATTTTGTGATTTCTGGATAAGGCAATTGACACCCATGAAAAAACATCGTTAAGAATGCCTTAGGGAAAACTGCGTGAAGTTAACGAAATACGGATGAGAATGCCATCAATTAAGAGAATCTTCCAGTTTTCTTTCATGTTCATCTATCCCACATGTTCTCTTTGAAACTAACAGGTCATCCTTAACGATACCACTTCTGGGAAAGTCTTTCAGATTGGAGTGAATGATTTGAAATTGAAAAACTAAAAAAGGAAAGTTAATGAGATTGAAGTTTATACATGAAAACAACAAGTATCAGACAAAAAAGTAAACAAGTTATGTAGTACGGAATGGCATCATATCTGGTTCGCAAGGCAAAGGATATTCCTAGAAAGGTTTCTATTTGACACTTGAATGGTCTACTTACTTTGAAATATTCATGTTCTAAAACTTTCTGAGCAGTTAACCTTCTTTTGGGATCATAAGCAAAAAGTCCATTGAGAAGGTCAAGGGTTGCTTGAGTAGCACTTTCGAAAACAGTCTGAACTAACAGTTTAACGATACAGTTCCAAGTTTTTTAGACCTTTAATTTATTGTAAGGTTGAGATCGTAAACTGAAATTCTGTAAATCGGGCATATCTTCTAGTTCAGGCCAAATCTTGGTTGTTGGGGTACCCAGTAGCTGGATGATTTTTTCGATCTAAGAAAAGTAATTTATAATTTATGAAAGAAAAGACATTACTTGATCTATATCCCCTTTTCCAGGCAAGAAAGGTCTTCCTAGTAATAGCTCAGCAAAAATACATCCTGCTGACCATATATCAATAGCTGTAGTTTGAGTTTTAGCTCCGAAGAGAAGTTCAGGACATCGATACCTCAAAAAATGATTAAACATTTAATGATGAAGAGTAAAATACCATAAAGTAACTACACGAGGAGTCATGTACATTCCCTCATCACCAAAAATTCTAGCTAACCCAAAGTCGGCAACTTTCAACACACCGGCGTCTGTTAATAGGAGGTTCGAAACCTTAAAAACAGTCAGCTTCTTTCTGTCATTCGATGCAGCTAAACTTTTAAATCTCGATGTAGAACGAAGTTAGAATGCATGAAGTTCAACGCTGCGAATAGTTGTTGTACCAGACATTTGATTTGACCAGGGGTGAAGGGAGCGGATAAGGTGTCAAGCAAAGAGGCCAGATCCTAAATTTATACTCAATACGGGCGATAAGACAGACATACTTGTTCACAAAATTCCATCACTAAGAACATTCCTTTATAACTTCGCGATACTGCAACCTAGAAGGAAAGCTTTGAGAATGTCCAAATTTCAGTTTACAACTTCTCTGAGATCAACTATATTCTGATGTCGCAGCTTTTGTAGGAGTGTAATCTCTCGCAAAGCAGACTCTGATATTCCATTTGAAGGTGTGTCACTTACTCTCACTTGTTTTAAAGCCACCTAAGAATGATACTCAGCCAATTTAGACTGCACTTACTATTCTGCCGGAAACCGTGTCCCGAGCTCTGTATACCACTCCATAGGTACCTTCACCTACTCGGTTAATTTTCTCGAACTCATTAACTTTCCTACAATCGCCGTATGAATGCGCCTCCTATAACATATTGATATGTTTTAGTTATAGCTACTGAAGACACCTTGTCTAGAATTCTCTTGGTACCATCAAAAATCGAAGTATACGATATGGTCTCAGCCGGTCGGGGCAGCATGAGATTCCTTCGAAAGTTGGAAAAAAGGTTGGAGTATCAGAAAGTTTGTAAATATTTCAGGGAACGATATCGTTTGCCCATATCAAATGAGGAACACATTTTATAAATATAAAATTCTCATTCGTTTGTAGAATAAGCATGAAAGATAATTAAAAAATCTAAAGAACACATATAGAAATCAGAAAAAAAATTACGCAAAAAGCAAATAAAACACAAGGAGATTACGATACCAGAAAATTGATAGATTATGTAACATTGAGGATATTAAACGGAGTATGGAAAGGAAATATATCTATGTTTAACAATTAACAGACTATGCGAAGCTTTTAAGTTTTAAATACACAGAAAGTGCTTTCACGGGAAGAAGGACTGAGGAATGGTACTATACCGAGAAAATGGAGATTTGGGCTGAAAAGCCTGGCTAATATGAGAAATATATTCAGGAAAGAAAAGGCAGAATGATTCAATTCAACTATGAGAGACAAATGAGAGAAAGAGACAACAAAGGTTGTATGAAACTGACAATTATGATCCGAAATTTTGAATAAAGTTTTTGAGAGCAAAAGAAAAAAGATCATAAAAGATAACCACAAATCTGAAAACTAAGAAGTGATTTTTGACAACAGGTGATTAATTACGACGACAACAAGGATAACAATGAGTTTGAGTATGAGCAGAAATAAATAAATACAATATAACTGAAACCCTTCAATAACTAACTTCCATTTTTGGTAACATTACTATTATAGAAAGTTTTAGTTGCATGGAACTTGCTGAAAGGCACCGAGTTAGATGGCTCATCACCCGAACCTAACCTGTCACCCCTCCCCCTTCTGTTTGGCTTGGTATTACTATCCATTTCATTCGAGTCTACGTTATTCCTAGAAGACCTATTCACTAAACTATTTTGACCACTGAAATACAGGTATCACATTGCTCTTCAACTACAAATCACTTACCCTCTTGATTTATTCGAGTTACCGTAATTCCTTTTGGGCACATAATCTGAGTACTCGTCCTGAATACAACGTATTTAACTCAATTCTTTGTCTGATCAACTACCTTCGACCAATCCACATGGTTTTGATTGTTCAGACGTCGATTAGTATACGTCCTATAGCTAACATATATGTTTAGTTTTTAAAGCAAAAACAGAAAAACCTGTTCGTTTCGAACTGTTGATGTTGTTGCCAAGTGAGTTGATCCCTTTTATCTGTGTTCTGAGTTCTACTGCTTGATGCCCCTTCACCACGACTTTCCATTCCATCGGTTTGGTTCTTGGATATATGACAGTGAGAAAAATTGATCAGATTAATACCGGTTTTCTTGTTTCTCGTCCCTCTCCGTAAGAACTATTGTGATACTCAGTATGCCGTTTGTTCGAAGTACCCACAGCCCTCCTCGTGCTTCCGTAAGTTCGAGTCATTGGCTTTGAGCTGGAGTAATCTTCACGAGCTTTGGGATACCTCGAATCTGAGAAAAAAATCAAATTACGATTCAAGAAAGAATCAAGATACCCTCATGTGACCTTGGAACATGCTTCTCCTCCTTATGATTATTAAAAGATCCAATCTTTTGCCTCTCTACACGTACATCGTTTGAAACAACATTCTTGAAAAATGTGCTTTTTGTGAACTAATGAAACAACTTACTCTAATATCGTTCCCTCCCTTATTAACTTTGACATTCCGGTTGTTTCCACCTTCATCTCGCCCTCTGTTTAATGTTCGAGCAGAATCTTTCTCTTGGTAGCTCAAGAAAAGCTTACTCATCTTCTCGTTCATTACCGATCCAGTGTTGTTTTGACTGGGACCTTGTGATGAAGATGGTTTAGTTTCAACAACATTGGTAGTAGTTCTGGTAGATGTTGATGTAGACGCCACAGGTAGTAAAGCAGCAACCGATGTTGGATTCGTTGAGCTGGTTGTAGCGGTAGTTGTTGTAGACGCCGTTCTTGAAGATCGTGATTGGGATGAAGATGATGAAACAGCTGAAGTTGGCAAAGTAGCCTGAGGTTTCGGTTGTTCGGTGGGTTTCATGTTGGAAAGCATAGGAGGTTGTGGGAGTACTTCACAACTCTGAAATTAACAGATTTCACTGAATAGCTTAAGATAATGATCTTACAGGTGGAGTAGGCGGTCTACTTCGCATTGATGCTGTGGTGCGGAAAGGACCATTACCTGAAAAAGGAAAATAACTCAGCACAAAGAAATTAAATGAACCATTGGAAGAATATCTGTTGACAACAGTTGGAATTGGGGCAATATGATTGACTTCATTGTAACCAGCTCTTTTATGCTCATCTGTTAGAACAGCAGCTAACTCTTTCAGTAGATCCTGAAGAAAGAGATAAAAACAAACACAAAGAAACAACTTACATCATTCTCTTTCTTCGAATGAGTAAGAACACGAGGGTTACTCATGACTTCCAGGAAATAAGACATAGTCTTGAACCTCAGTTGCATTAATCTTTGCAAATCCTGTTAACAAAAGTTGAACTATGCTTGATTACGCTAATAACCTCGAAAGGACCCCGTATGCCCATCCATTCATCAAGCTGCAAGCAATATAGTTGAGGAAAATCGTCATCTTCTGAACTCGGTTTGGACTCGTCATTAGCGATACTATTCTTGCAGTCGTCAACTAAAAATGTTCTGTAGTATCTATAGGAGGCAATTGAATATTACTTATATTGAAATCATCAATTAAGACTTTTTTCAATCTCATGGCTCCTGAGAACAAGACAATTGTGCAAGAGGGAACCACAGTCACAGTCCTCAGCTGAATCATTTAAAACATATTGAAACAATGACGTTCATATCTTACTGTGAGGCCTTCTTCTATTTTAGCCATCTCTTGAAAAACTAAAAACTCCACAATAGGCTCATTATTAATTTCCAAAGATTTTTTGGCGTTAGACAGCTGTCGCTTGATGACAGAGGACGGATGAAGAGTTGCGTTACCATCGCTTCTACAAACAAACTTATTATTATCAAAAAATCTTAATAGGCTCAACGTTGTTCTAATTTTTTTCAGTTTGTTGCCGTTCTTGACATATCCAACTCCTGGATAACAGCCCGATACAATGGCAGCTTGAATCATTGGCCAACAGTTCGAGTATCTGTGAAAAAAAGAAAGATAAAGAATCAGAAAAAAAAAACAAACTTGTTATACAGACTATCTTGTAAGAGTTGAGCTACATCACCATCACAATGAACTATTCTCGCTCGTCGTAGCTCATATAGCAACTGGCGTCTGACACCAATAACCATTTTCAATACGTTGACTGAGAGAAAATTGCTCTTGCAAAAGCTGATCTGCTCCTTGTGGGGTTTATTGTCATAATCGTTAACAACTCTGAAGTTAAGTGATGTTAGGAGCTTTCTGCCTTATTATTTACCGCAACAGAGCTACATGATCAGAAAAATCTCTTTGACCGAAAACATCTCTACATTGATTAGCTTTCTCTCTATCTTCTAAACTAGGTAATATGACTGAAATTATAACAAGATTTTTTGACAAAAACTTTAGGAAAATTACAAGGGTCCCTATAAGAAAGTGCGGCGACTAATGTAGTGACAGGTGCTAGACAACGAAGTGCAACTCCAAATAAGAGCAATCGTGCTGAAATAGAAGGTTTTTTTTAGTTGTTATGTCCGAACAAACCAAGTTGAGGATCAAGTGGCAGCAAAGCAATAAGACGTCCCATATCTGTGAGCGCCGGATCTCGTTGAGAATAAATAGTTCCGGAATCACTCGTGCTAGCTTCTGAGTACAAGGCGCCAAGTTGCTAAAAAGAAATGATGTGAATGCCCATCAACAAAGTCTATGAGCCGATTACCTCCAAGAACTGCATACTATGATCAATAGCATCACCAGGTGGAGGCTCAGGTGCCAATTGCAAAAACGTTCGAACTGTCATGTTCTCAGGGGCAAACATTTTGGCATGTAGACACACATCCTACAGAGAGAAAAATAATCAGAGGATTAGAAACTATTTTTACATGGATAGCAGCTCTTTGCATTTCAGCTTTCTGTGTAATAGACATTTGATTATAATCTCGTTTACTATATAGGCGGAAACAATAGCCTTCTCTACATCTTCCAGCACGACCTTAAAGAAGCAGTTAAAACTATACAATCAGTTTTTATTAACCTGCTCTCTGTTCAGCATTACTTTTAGCAATCCAAGCTACTTTTAACTGACTAATTCGCGAAGTATGATCATAAGTTTTCTCTTTAACCTTTCCAGTATCAATTACAAAAACGACGTCGTCAATAGTTAAGGAGGCTTCCGCAATATTAGTAGAGAGGATCTAGCAAGAAAAATATCTTAACTTTACTAGGATGTAAACGAACAATTTTTCTCCTTCCTGGAGCGGGTGCTTCGAAGACCTTCTGTTGATCGGAACTATTCATTTGTGAATGAAGTATAAAGATCTGAGGCTGGTATCCATGACTCCTTGGACATTCTAGTATCTTCTCTCTGACTTGGTTGATGTCTTCATATCCAGGCAAAAAAACAAGAATCGCTCCTTAAAGGTTTCTCAAAATTATAAGCTCTCCTGATTTAGGAACCTTCTATTGGACTGTTTATACAGTATTGAATAACAGAAACAATCAGCTGCTGATCGATAGAATCAGAAAACTGCCTTCCGCCCAAATCCATGTAAGGCTAAATATGCTGTGTTGCTTCTCAAATAAAAAAAAAAACCTCTATCAAGTTCTTCTTCTCAATTTCTGCTCTATGCAGATGATATTTCGCGTCAGGGGAGAAAGACATAGATTTCCCAGGTAATGCATTTATAATGAGCCCCTTCTTCCAATTCATAATTTGTTGATCTCTTTGAAGGGAATCCTTCAATGAACCGTTATTCCATACTTCTGATCGAAGAAACATACCTTATAGCTCTTAACTTCGTCACCATAGGAAGACTGACTCTGCGACATTAACACGGGAAAACCGACATTCCCATTCTGATTATAATACTGGAATGACACATACTGTTAACAAAAAATAACTATATAATTGAATACCATTCCTTTCCCGGGTCCTGCACTAGCGTCGTCGTTGGCCACATAAAACAAAGGTTGACTAGGATTAACAGAATGAGGATATTGATTAGACTAAATAAAGAATTATATAGATAGATCAACTTCAGAAAATGTACATCGAAAGATACATGAGATTGGCTGTCCCAACTTTGCATGCCAGATGTCATGGGAGCTTGGTTGTTGATGACAGGGTAAGACTGCTGAAAATAACTATTAACATAAGTGATCATTTCGGAAACTACCGTATGCTGCCAGCTAGGGTTCTGCTCAGATATGGTCTCTTGAGGTTTGAATGGAAGACCTAACATCTTCATAGCTTCCGGTTCCACTTGATCACAAGGCATATCTATAACATCAGCTTCCTGGTAGTACACCTGATTTGCCTGATCCATCCCGCCGCCCCACGTTGCTGCTACAAAAGAATATGAAGGGAATGAAAAAGAAAAAAACTACTTACAGTGTTGCATACTAGGTGGGGGTTGCGAATAGCTATTATACATGGGCTGTTGAGGAAAATGACCATTATTCGAGACAAAAGACTGAAGAGAACAGTAGATGAACTTAGTTAAATGAAAAATACGAACTTGTCCGTAATAAACAGGTACATTCATATTAGGGGGAGGGTGTGGATATTGATTCTGAAACGACAGAACAGAGTTATGAAAAGAGGAGACTGATACCTGTGACGGCGGAGGAAAGTTGTAGCCAGGACCGGAATATGATGGATTGTTAACAGCAGAGCTCGGGTGTTGTGATCTAGAAACATTTTTTCTCAGAGAGCAAAACACAGTTCTACAAACCCAGCAATTTGGTGAGCCATGTTATCATACAAGACCTGTTGTACAGGAGACTTCTGATGTAAGTTCGTGGCACTCATAGTGGTATGAATGTTGGATTGAGATTGAGAATGCGAAACTTGAAAACTCTGCATACTTTGACTAGGCTGAAATTAGAATGAATGTTAAAACATGACAAGTCTTCAACTACCATGGGTACAGAGTGGCTGTTGTAATCGTTAGTAAAATTCCGCTTATCCCATTCTTCGACTGGGGGAAATCTGAAAATTAAGTTTAAGATATGTCACTGAAGAATGACATACGAAGAATTCATGGAAAAATGTCCGCTGAAAATGCTTTCCTTCGGTACATGACCAGTAAGAGCTAGAACTTCATTGAGGTAGAACTTCTCTACAGGATACAAACGGGATGGAACTAGAAAAAAGTTTTATGATAAGCCCCTAGTTTATACTAACTATCAATATGATACACTTTAACTCTTTCCCCGAAATATCCCATGAACATTTTCAAATTTCCTTCCATTGTTGCCGACATAAGAATAATCTGAAAGCCTTATGAGATGAGTAAGCAAAAAGCAAAAATACCTTCAGATCTTTTCTTTTCTTCAAAGCTTGTTTTAAGGCTATTAAAAGATAATCAGTATTTTGTTCGCGTTCATGAATTTCATCCTTAATAGGATAATGATTAGAAATCAAGAGTGGGATGCTAACCAGGATAATGTGAGAAACATCTTTTGCAGTTTCATCTTGTGTAAGCATTCTGAGTAATACACCACTCGTACAGTATGTTAAAACGGTAGAAGAGCTGACTCTGTAGAATGAGAGAGACGGATAAAGAACTATCAGGTGCTACGAATTACTTTTGCTCCAATCGAATATGATATCCTACAGTTTGTCCTATCTTTTCATTTCTCTCTTTTGACACTCTTTCTGCCACAGATATAGCCGGTAACCTTCTGGGCTGAGTACAAATTATCCGTATTCTTTTTTGCTTATGACAGGCATCATCCAAAATGAATTGAGGAACTTGAGTTGTTTTACCACAGCCTGTTCCACCCGTGATTAAAACAACTTGATTATGATAAATAGCTTCTAATATTTCAGATCTTTGTCTATATGCTGGTAAAATTTCCCTATAATTAAAAGTTCAGCTACGCCACGTATAGTTGGGAACCGTAATCTCATCATCTCTGGCAGGCTATCAGATGCTGGCGGAACAAGCATAGGTTGGCCATGGGTAATATCTTCCACTGAATGATGAGACTTCCCTACAAGATAATGTAGAACCGGAGCAGCTTAATGAATACTAACCATGAGAAGATGTGGCTAGATGATGTTGTATTTCTTGCTTGGTGATCGGATATTTGTTTATCAATTTAGCAATCTGAAATACATGCATAAAACGAGCTAAGATTACTATGGTTCTCACAGATAATTTGGACTTCTTTGATATTACTACAGGTTGAGTGTCAGAAGCCATATCCACTGAAATCAGCAAGTTTACATGGCCAAAAAATATCTCGTAAGTTCGAGCAGACCCCGAGACTTGGTCGAAACAAAAAAATTGGTCTCGAGTGGAGCTCGAGTCCGAGTTCAAATAAAAAACAAATAATAAATGAATAAATAAAAAAAATGGTCTCGAGCCGGGCTCGAGCCCATTACTTGATTGTGAGATATTGAACGGCGTGAAAAACCGAATGAGATGTGTAAGAGACATTGTCAAGAAAAATTTTATTATATGTTTGAAGTATTGTTTTCATGGCCAAGATTATCCTCTACAGAAAATTCTGTTTTATTCGTCCACAGCTCTAGCCGAGAGCCAGCGAAACTCACCAAGTGTTTCGATGTTTCGTTAGATCTGCAAATGGCACTTTTTTCATAACAGTAGTTCTGTTACTAGTTATCAACTTTTTTACTCAGGAGAGTAGTTGTTATCAAGAAACGAATGCGGAAGAGAAAGTCATAACTCGGCTACGAGCTGAAAGTACTTGAACTCTTGGGAACTTTACACAAGTTAAGAGTATATTCATTAAAGCTTGATCTCTCGCTTCCAACTTTATCTTCAATATGCTGTAAGCTCTTATCAGCTTCACTTACTAGTAAACTATGGAGATGATTTGATAACTGGATTCAGTTATTTTAATGTTTCTGCATGATGGTAACGTTTCTTCACAGCCGATTTATCCTAATGAAAGGGAGGTTTTCTTTAACTTTATATATCCCATCTCATTTCAAGAATGCTCTGAAAGACATATCTAAAATCATAATACATTTGATGTATTCATTGAAACGTGTACATATTACATACTATCACATATTTATCGCATTTAGGATTTGATGCAAAACTTTCTAAGTTTCTTTTTGTTTTTTGTAATAGCAAAGTTGAAGAACACTCACCGGTTTCCTTCAGAACCATGGAGTGCCATGTGGCGATCATACCGTCCACGAAAAGTCATACCAAGAAATAGATCCGATTGGTCACCTTTCAAACCGAAACTAAGATGAAAAATCGAAAATAAACGGATGAAATAAAAAAAAATATTTAAGGTTCAACAACCCATTTGTGAAACAAAGAAAACTCTTCTGAAGCTCTTCATGTACAAAACATTATTTAAACTCAACCAGTACTTTTCATAAATATTAAAAATAAATTAGAACCGCCGTACAATGCTTGATACCCAAACAGGCTCATTTAGTTGTTCTTCCTCAAAGTCCACCGAAACCAACATCTGTAATACGTAGAGCTCAGTATGTCAAAGAAAATGATCACATACCTCATCTCCAACATTCTGCTCATACAACTGTTGTAATTCCTTGGCAGCCTTCTCTTCTTCTTCAATAAAAGCGAGAGGGCGAGAGAACTTCTTCTTTTCTAAACTTGGAGAAATGTAAAGATGAGTAATTGAGGATCAAACCATCTTCCGTCTTCTGTTTCTCTTCTTTCATAATCTCACAAAAAGACAAATTATGACTTGACTCTTCTGATTCACTTTTCCATACAGTACGTCTCGATCTTGGCTTCAATATAAACTCTCATGAAAATAAAGAAGTTGACCAAACCTGTGGATTATCTAACCGCTGTTGCTGTTCCTTTTCTTTTTCCTCCGCTTGAATAGCGGCTAGTGAAGTTGATGGTCCCGGAGAGGAAGCATTAGCCCTTGGATTCATTTTTTGAAGAGATCAATCAAACAGAAAAAATACCACGGAGCTTCGTTCGTGACTCTCTCCTGTAGCAAATAATTGGCTTTATGTCCCTTCCCCATAGGTCTCATTTTTGGCTTTGCAATTTTTTGAACTTTTTCTGTAAGTAATTATATAGCTAAACTTTTGCGACTTATTTACCTAGAAAAGGAGATTTGGATTCTTTACACTTCGAATTATCCTCGTCATGGACGTGTAGGCCGGACAAGTTTAAGAGTTCGGAGTTATGTAGTTCGTCCGGAGTATGGAAAACTCCAGAGAGCCGGCAAGATTCTGTTGGCGAACAAGGCTCAATAGGAATGGGGTCTGGCTGTGAACTAGGTACAAGCGGAGACGATGAGGAGTTCGATAAATCATGTTCAAGACTCAAACGGGGTTCAGGAAAAGGTTGAGTAGGAGGAATAGGTGGTTCAAGCGGTAGTCGAGAATCTTTTTTTCTCTTTCTGTCCTTGGATGCTTTTAACTTCGAGTCCGCCACCTTTAACAAAGCCCGTTTGTACTTCTCAAGAAACGCTTGGCAAGTCTGTGATTTTTCTCAGTTTTCTCATTACAAAAGAAAGATGCTTACTGGTTCCTCAGAGAAAGAACCGTCGAACTCGTATTGGTCTAGGTTGCTCCTTAATGAAAATTCTAGAAAACCTGTAGCAGCTTGATATTCGATGATTTCCTGGAGTTCAAAATATTAAACAGAAAAAGAAAAAGGAAAGTTACATCAACTTCTTTTCTGATTCTCTGATTCTTTGTGTTGCCCTTCATAAGTTTACCTAGAGTCTCATCCATGACAAGAACTACTGACCAATCTTCACGTTTACTCTGCAAGAGAGAAAAATGAAACACTAATAAATCAGTAATACCGTGAAGTTGTGATCGAGCGAAAGAGGAGTGAGAGCTGTACTAGGCTTCAACACTGAACTAACTAAAGGTTCTATTCTGGAAAAAATTACAAATTAACAATCTTGGAGCAGGGGATAATACTCTTTTAAAAGTTCTATCGGAGCTAAGGCGGAGTTTGAGAAGAAGCATAGAAGATCGAGACGATCTACGAACAAACTAACTATCAAATCATGATAGGATGGTAATGAAAAATAGATGTTGAATAATTCTTCACAGTGAAGATGAGTTGCTGGAATGACAAAACATTAAAGAAGGCAAAGCAGTACTAGAAACCTCTATAGAATATAGTTTGCAAGCAATCCTCCATTAATGCTTCGAACATGTATTGATCACAAAAAGTGAATATTTGATATATCTTGAAGCAACAATGACAATTATAAACCTTAGGCACATACCTCGTCAAAGCTAGAATCTAGTAACAACTCAGGTTTTTCTAAAAAGTTGAGAACTCTTTGGATTATGGCACCAGAATAGTCGAGTGAAAGTGTGAAATCGGAACAATAATTCAAGGCAAGAGAAATGTACTGTGAATGAAGCCTCAACCAATTTCTAGAACGACAAATAATTCAGCGAATTTCAAGAAAAAAAAAACTAACTGATTCGAATAAAATCGCAACCCATCTGTGGATATGAGAGTGCAATCTTTCGGTATAACATCATCAACACTTTCCGTCTTACTCAACCTAAAAGAGAAAATAAATGAAAAACATTAAAAAAAATAAACCTTATAGTTCTCTGTCCTTGTTTTCTAACTGTAATTCCGCATTGGCTAATAATTTTCACTAAAGGACCTGGTCGTACAGCTGAAAGTGAGGTGGATCATCAAAGGATCCAAAGAAAGTTCATACAAACGTTCCTCCGTAGTTTTTCATAAAACGATTCAGAAAAAGGATGTCCAATCAGAAAGCGATAGACGGAATTACACTCCTCATTCAACTCTAACACTTTGGCAGCCTGATTAATCATAAAACAAAAAAACAAAACCAAGACTGATACCTCGGAAAAATCAAGAACACTGTTTTTAATGAAAGGCAGAAGAGCCGGCATCCGATAACCAATAATTTCAAAAGATGTGAGAAAACTGGTGTACTCCTTCGAAATAACCTAGAAACACTATCAGTCTTCATATACTTGACGAATATCACCTTAACAATCTCTTGAGCTTCAATAGTGTCTTCTTTTTGTTTTCCTTGCAGATATTCGAACTGTAAAACATCAGATAAGCCAGAAAAAAAAGGAAAAATCATACGTCCACTGATCGCCACTTCAGTTGTCCCCAATCACCATCATCGAAAGACTAAAAACTGTAGAAAACCAAGACGAAGCACCATTTTTACCTGATCAGCCTCTATTTTGTAAATAACGTTCATGAGATCAGGGCTTGCTGATAAAAAAGTTGCTCCGTGAGTGTTGGGGATTTCCTTTAATCAAAGCGAATGCAAATCTTTGTGAATTATCCTACCTCAAGAGGTATTTCCCAGTACGATTTACGCATCTGAGCCTCAATATCGTTTTTCGGAGGAGCATATACGAACTCTTGATCACATCTTAGCTTCCTCTTCCTAAGTTTAAACTTTCCTCGGTATAGAATAGCTCCCTGGAAAAGAAAAAAATGATGAGAAACAAACAAAACCTTGCCATTCTCCCAATAGAACTATCAGTTTGTAGCTTATAAGTTTGCGCTAACAATATTATGTCACCTATAAAAAAGTATTGAAGTCAAGAAACGAAAAATCTAAACCTTCTTTGGACACTTCAAACTGCCATATGTTCAAGTACACACGTAGTCCATTTAGCAGAAAAACATAAGGAACCATTTCTCCCGATCTGAGATATATTTCAAACGATCGATGTTGAGTAACAGTATTGTCATTCTCAATGAACACGGGTGACATTATACAGAAAAGAAACTATAACTAGCAGGTGATTGTTAGAACTAGTAAAACTGAAACCTCATATCGCTGACCACGGCTGTATTGCAAGGAAACTCTACGGTGATTTCCAGAATTAATTTCAAACGATGGTAATGCTTCATTCCTATGATCAATGTTTTTGGAGTCAAAAGTGTTTAGTCTGAAAGAGAGTGCTGTTGAGGAATGCGGAAAACATGTATACTTGAAACTGTCAGATCGTTTATATCCCTTTTTTTTAATGTAGATATAGTTCTCATTTATGAAAGTATCCCGGCAGCACTTCAAGAATGGAGGTGTATACTCATCGGAAAGAAAACCACAGAGGAAAACGAGTTTCAGAGCATAGATACAAATGTAATCTGAATTTGCAGTGATCTGAAAAGACGATGCATCAAGAATCAGAAGACATACTTCCTGACCGTCATATCATAACAGTCGATATTCTCGAATAATACAAATTTCTTGACTTGAGGATCCTTTGATTCAGGGATGATCATCTTGTAGTCTCCACAAACATAGAGCTAAAATTTTGAGATATGTAGAACCATAAACTCTGGAAACTTACAGATCGTTGAGTTAAAAATAAAGAAAATCCTTCCATTGCTAAAATATCCACGACTATTTCGTTTCCCAAATTTGGTAAATCTATTCGACTAGGAGTCACTGCAATGGTTCCAGACACGAAGCCTAGTTGACCCTTCGAAGTGGAGCCACATCCAAAAACCTGGTTGTTCGAGTCGAGGAACAGCGTATGCTGATCACTCATCGACACTTTCATTATCTGAATCAAAAACATGTCTGACGGTCGAGAGAAACAATTCACTTCAGTGGTTCTGAAACTGATCTGATGTGCAGACGAAGTCGCGCCCTTCGTGGGTACACCGATATTATAATATGTGTTTTCTCCGAAGCCCAACAAATGATAATTACATACTAAACTCAAAAGTCAGAAAGAAAAATGGAGAAAAAATTACTTTTGAAAACCTTCTTGTAGGTGTAAGTGTTATCGAACAACAAATGTCTTGGAAAAGAATCATGCACGGAATGGAAGCGCGTTGCAAACAGAGTTTGAATCAAAAAAAACTCGCACGTTCTTAGCTGAAGCAATAAAGTAAAAAATAAAACGTTCTTCAATTATACCCTTTCCAAAAAAACCATTTTGAAAAATGTTGGACTGTTCCTATAGCATTCTGCTGTATCTTCGACTGCTTGTATGAGGTCGTCAACTTCACCTTCAAGAAATTCACGTAAGAACATTATGAACGTTTGGAATTATACCAGCATCATGAATGATCTTAAGACAAGTTACAATTATTGAGGAACGGCAAAAGGTATTCAAGTTGTCAGTGAGAGAAAGAGTAGTTGATAGAATTTCTTGAGCGATTCTCGCACTGTTTCCGTCTCGAGCAGACAAGGATTTAAACAACTCTAGACATACGGTGATATCTTTTCCTGGACAATACTCCTTCTCAGGCTCTGGCGGTGCGAACCTGAATATGAAAGAACTTATTAGCTTCTTCTGGAATCTCGTTTGAGCTACATCATAGATGATTCTTTTGCAGGAAGTGTGGTCTTCTCTTTCGTGCTATGGCTTTATAAAGATCCTTCAGGCTCAGAAACATAAGAAACAGCGAATAACATACTGTTAGCTGTGCTAGACAGTAAGCTCTTCAACTCGGACAGAGAAGCTTTATTTAACTCAGGAATAACACCTTATTAACAGATTAGTAAAATACAATATTATAAAGGTCTGAAGCGAGCCCCAGTAGTAAGCTACCGTAGGAAACTATTGGCGTTGGAGCATGCATAATCAAGCATTTCAACCGAGCAATGCATCACAAGTGTTACTCGCGTTCACCAGGAACCCAATTTTCCACATGTTGTTATTCTTATTGTATTTGTTCAATAGTTTAGAAGTGATAGTGAGAAGTTTCCACAATAGTTTGACTGTTCAAATTTTTTCCTCGATTGAGGAATAGAAAACTAGACAAAGATGCATAACTATTACGGTACAATAAAAGGACGGAAGAAAACAATTTCAACAACCGTATACTTTGCTTTCTTATTTATGAAATGAGTTCGGAGTTTTATATATACTCATGTAGAATACTCAACCCCACCTTGAGAGTTGCAGTTTCTTGTCTTCAGATGAACAGTTATACTTGAAAAATAATGTATATTTACAACGGTTCAACAAATAAGTATTCAACAGGTTGAATCAATAACAATTTCACAGATTAAAATGAGTAAGCCTAAAATCTCTAGAGAATCTATAACAAAATTAAACCCTAAACACATTTTCTCACTTTCAACCAGAGAATGAGCAACGGAAACGTAGCAAGCGTATATTTGTAGATATTTCTAACAAACGGCAAGTAGTAAGCAGATAACAACGCTCCACTGAAAAACAGCGTTGGAGGTAAAGTTCTCATGATGGGAAGTGCCGGCTCAATTTCATTAATTTTATCAGGGAACTCGCCAGTTTCGTAGAATCGGTTCATCAACCTGAAAATGAAATAATCTCATTCGTATTAAGATAAGTACCAACTTGTCCTTGTTTTCATATATCTGCATCATCCAGTTCTTGAGGTTTAACTTGTCTTTAGGAACGTCATTGATAGAATGACGTTTGATATGAACGGAAACATACCGTCCTTTCAGAGCGCCACATACAAACTCAAACATACCAGGAGCATAGCCTCTGCGGTTTGTGTTTCTGAAAGTATCTTATATCAATTGTATTTAAAGTGAGGCAACCTCGTTTGACCATAGCCAATGGTTATATCGTAAATAGCATCTAGGCTTTTCAAATTTTCAACAGCCATCTGAACACCGCCAACTCTAGGACATAATACATTCTCCAATTGCCGCATTCCCTATAATAGTATAATAAATATTTTCAGAAACTCAGTTCGGTAACACACAGTTGTTCTACAAAATTCTTGGCTTTGTTTGATCTTCTGAGGGTGACTCTTGGTGAAGCGTGTACCTTCCGGGAAAACCAATAGCCAGTAACTCTCGCCAATACTGTCGAGCCATTTCAACTGCTTCAAAACTGGGGTGCCGATGAATGTTCCAAAGCGTCTAACATATATGTATCCGTGCTAAGATACATTGATCCAAGTCATAAATGGATTTATATACCTGGAAGATATACCAACCGAACAAAGGCACATAATGTATAGCATTCTTGACCATTACTCTAAAACCTACGGATGAACCGTCTTTGCCTTGTCTATCAGCAAGCATCATGATGATTGCCCAATCAACTGAATTTGATCTTGAGAAATAGCATGAGAAAACAAAGAACCATTCGTTTGATGATTGGAAAGAACTAGGACAGATTCTTTCATATTTCTCAGAGCTTCGAGATCCCCATGCAGTTTGAGCTAAACTGGAGAGTAATGCAGCCAAGCTCAAAACACTACCTCAACTCCAGACACATTTTCGAAAACAAACAAACAAAGTCTCATATATGCTTTGTAAAGTGTATTATCCAAAGCCTGTAAGACCTTTTAGCATTATTATTCCTGCGTATATGATTACCAAAAATGTCTTCTTCGGTACTACCCAAGATAATGATCCTATGCCAAGAGATAAACTAGCAAAAGGAAGCATAGATGCCGACAGTAAACTACATGGTATAACTGCTTTCAAAGAATCCGCTGCCAGAAGCACAGATAAGGCCATCTATTGTAGGATCTTTTGTGAAAAAAATCCTTATAATGAACGAAGAAATCGAAGTGAGTGACATACGCATTGAACATAATTCGTAGAAGTGAAATAGAAAACGTTTATTAAACCCGTATTCGGTCTCGAGTCAGAAAAGTTTTCACAGTTCTGTTATATCAGATTTCTTGTGATGAATATGAGTCAAAGAAAAAGCTCTGAAGAACAACATTTGGATCCCACCTAAGATTAAAGGTGTTCCAAACAGAACAAATAACATCCCAGTGCTTAAACTAGAAGAAATCACTTTTTTCGATGTATAATCCTGAAACAATAGAATCAGTTTGATATAATACATCTATATATATGCTCACATCATACCCGAACCCATTCAAAAAATATACAATGGCTACAGGTGCTAGTGATTGAGCGGGTTTGACGAACAGAGCATTCAGACTGAATATCAGGGAAGATAGAGTGGATCTGAGAATGAATATATTTATATGAAATTAAATATTATATTACCGTCGGTTATTGCGTTTAGCATCGTCGTCCACAAAATCGGATATAACTATATTGAACAGAGGAGCAGCTGAATGAACCGTGATACTGAAAGTAAATGAGGAAGCTCCTTTTTCCTGGAAAAACACTTACCTATCAACTAGCATGAATATCATTATAACATAAGAGTTTGTACCAAATAAGAAAAAACCCGAAGAAATAACAGAGAGGATATATGATGCTTTCAGCACATTAGCTGCCCCGTATTTTAAAATTGTCCTCTCATTCAGAATTAACAAAATCTTAAAAAAAAGAACGAATACGATTATAATAATTCAAATCATACTTGCGGTCCAAGCGTTAAGACAGCATAAAACACGCTCAAGCGTAACGAGCCCTTGGGTAATACTGATTGCGAAATGAGGATTTCTGTAGCGGTAGAAGCGAAATTCATATGCGCTACACTTCTGTAAATCATAACATGAAAGCGTTTTCTTAAATTAACAACCTGCCAGTGTGTAGAAAGTTAGCAATCATAATGAGCAAGAAGCTTTTATTCTTCACAATTTCTTTTGTCAACGTCCAAGCATGTGCCAATGAATCTGATGACCTTAAGAAATTCACGTTTTGATTGTAAGAAATTCCAAAAGTTGAAGTACTTCAAGCTTTTATCTGCATGATTGGATTCCAACAAGTTCTCCGACTCATCCTCGACTCTTGAAAATGGAAGAGGCTGTTCTAAGGAGCCAGCTACTTGCAGACATAGAAAACCGATGGCACTCACACCAACAACTATCAGTAAGAAAATATTGAAAGTCTGTAAAACAAGAGAAAGTTTGAGGCTGTATGAAGCAGTATATATACTTCGAGACTATGACTGAGTTTTTCTGTAACTGCAATAATGTTCACTGATATCAGTATACTGATTTGACTATATTTCATTGCCGCTACGCGTAACCGAGGTTCCTTCGTGCTATCAGCAAAGAGAGCGCTCCATGCAACAGAAATGCAACTGAAACGGCATGTAATATTATTTCAATTTCAACTGGTACCTGAAGAAAGCATCGTACAAGAGAAGAGAGAGAATCAAATGGATCCCTTCTAAATAGGAGCCGGTAGTATTCCATGGTATCCACATGAATATGAAAGACACTGCTAGGAATGGAGAAAAGTATTTGATCACGGAAGCTCGGTTTTTCATCCAGGAGTGAGGTGAGTCCTGAGGCAGAAGTAAACAGTTTCATATTCTATCTTGGAATCTACCTGCAAGTATCCAAACAACGGATCATTTATAGCATTCCAAATCATGAAAAGAACTTGTGCGATGTTAAACCATAACTGGGGCACGTGAAAGACATTCATATATATCTTCACATAATAAAACATAAATAGGACCTGAATAAATGAGATTAGACCATTTAAAGTTTCATTCTAACTGTACCTGCATAATGCTTAGAGAAAATTGACCACACGCTATGGATAAAAGAGGATTTGTTAACCTAATAAATAAAAGCTCGTTTAAACTAAACAAAAACAAATATTTCACTTCATTTTTGCAGGAAAGGTTCAATAGTCCAAGAAGAATATTAGTTCATAACTGTCTACACCTGGAAAAGTTTTAAAATAATATTGAGCGCATAATCAAAGACCGTATTTTAGCGGAACACGTTTGAAAATGATTGCGGCTAAGCAATCTAGCCACATTTTTTTCTTTCATTTTAAAATGTTTCAAATATACAATACAGAGAATAACGTTATCTGGACTCCAGATGGAAAAGTGATAATGACTGAAAGTCGAATATACGTAATCACACACAAGTTGTTAATAAACCAGATGTTCGTTGGTTCATACTTGTTGTCGGAAAATGCTTTCAGAATGTTCCATATCGGAGTTCGTATCTATGCAATACCTTTTCAATAGAATATTTGCTATATTTATACTCTTACACATGCATATATATAGCATTTATATTTATATATATATATAGGAATAATGATCAAACCACACATTAGTAGTGCTCGCGTAACATTTACTTCTTTCTAAACGTTCTTTGTGATACTTAACTTCCCCGCTACGAACATTGAAAGAATCAACTTGTAAGAGTGTATATAGGAAAGATATTGGTGAATACCGTAAAAATAATTTCGCTCTAGAGCAAGAATGTAAACAGTATCCACTATCGAGTTTCCCTAATATATCGATCCCTAACTTATTCTAAGCCAATTGTATTTGACCTTTATCAGAAGACCTTTGCTGTTGAATTTCATTACTCGTTTTCAAAGATGACTCATCATTCGTAATTCACATAATTTCAGGTCTTCTAAACCGTATGTGAGAAGAGATGAAACATAGATCTATTCTTATAGTTTTGTATCTTCTCTTAGACATACCCTTAACAACTTTACTTCTCGGGTTCTTTTCACCATCAAAGGAGTTTCATTTCGACAACGTTCTGAAATACCTCTTATTTCTCGATGGATATTCATTTATAGACAATCCTTTTGATTTTGTCGTTTTAGCCTGCATCAGAGCTTTGTTCCTGATAACCGCTGTGGTTTTAATAATTTTACATAAAGAGAAAGTGAATACTGTACTATTCACACCTGTACTTATTTACACTATATTCTGCTATTCCTATACCCTAATCAAGTTATTGGCTTTTGCGGAAAAAGCAGAGCAAATTCGTTATTGGGGTCTGTGGTACACTATTTCTTTCTCCATACTCTCCCCTGTTCTGTTTTGTTGCTTGTGGAGTTGGACAATAGCGAAAAAGTCTCATCATGGCAATTACGGACGTTTAGTAGAAGATGATGCTCAGAGTGTTTCATCTCAGAGACGACTTTTCTCTGATCTCGAATCACTTGTAAATACAGGTATGGAAGCGAAAAATTTCTGCTTATCTTATCTATACTTAGAAGATTCACGTATTAGCACATCTCAGCATGCTTGGAAGCTTCTGTCTTACTGTCGATATGAATGGGTCTGGTTTGCTTCCGGGTTCTTCTTTTTGAACATTTATGCTTTCGGTATTTTGATCAAATTTGTTCTGATAAGTTAGAGTTCTAGCTCGTGTTTTTATACCTTCAATGATGGGAGATGTGATTGCCAACATTGTCAAGACTAAAGGATATGACGTCTTGATTCATTCCGTGATTGTTATGTCTATTCTGCTCTTCATCAGGTTCTTGATTATCTAAGTTTCCATGTAACTGTTTTTTAGTTCCATAGCTGGCGGTTTACGTGGAGGATGCTTTGATTATGCTTCCGCACGAGTTAGTCGTCGAATCAGACAAAATCTGTTCAGTTCTCTCGTTCTCCAAGATATAGCTTTCTTTGATATAACAAAAACTGGTTTGACATAATCCAAGATATTTCCTCAACTTTTTTTAAAGGAGAAATTGTATCACGTTTGACATCTGATTGTCAGACCATGTCTACAACAGTTGCAACAAACCTGAATGTTTTCCTTCGCAATGGTATCATGCTCATTGGAGCTATGATATATATGTTTGTCAAATCATGGAAACTGGCCATGGTCCGTTGGTTTGCATACTAACTTATAGAGATACTGTTCAGGTTACAGTGATTGCGGTACCATTGGTCGCCTGTCTCACCAAGCTTTATGGTGGTTACTTCGATGTGAGTGTTAAACCATCAACTCTCAGAAAGTTTTTATTCGCTTTCAGTCTTTGTCAGAAAAGATACAGGACTCTATCGGAAAGGCAAACCATATTGCTGAGGAAGTGTTATCCACCATGCGAACTGTTAGGTCTGTGTCAGCTAAACTGAAACCATATATTTGTGGTATTTAGATCGTTTGCTTGTGAGCATAGAGAAGCCAAAAGATTTGATGATCACCTGGAAACAACATTGAAAATGGGCAAAAAGAAGTAATGCTTTGTATATGTGGAAGAGTAGTATGTTTCGTTCAGGTCTGTAGCATACATGGGATATACTTGGACTAATGAAGTCTGTGACAACATTGTCCTTGTAGCTGTACTTTTCTACGGTGGACATTTGGTTTTGTCAGGTAATATCAAAGTGTTATGCATATTTACTATATTTTGTCTAGGTCAAATGGCCACTGAGGATTTGATAACATTCCTTCTATATCAGATGCAGCTTGGAGAAAACCTGGCCGTAATAATCTGAATATTTTCTCAAGTAATTATGCCTTTCAGAGTATCGGTTATGTTTTTACTGGCCTCATGGAATCCATTGGAGCGTCTCGAAAAGTATAAATTATCGGTTTCATTCAGTAGTACAGTTTTTCATCAGGTTTTTGAATATATGAACAGGATCCCAGTTATCACAATGGACGGAAAATTACAGCCCGAAGTGAACGGAGAAATTGTGTTCGAAGATGTTCATTTTACTTATCCTTCAAGACCTAATAATGAAGTTCTCAAGGTTTCGTTTCTTCTTTTTTTAAATTATCATCGGAAGTTTTTTTCCAGGGGCTGAACTTGAAAATAGAAGCCGGAAGAACCGTAGCTTTGGTGGGGCCTAGTGGTGGTGGAAAATCATCCATAGTTGCTATGATACAACACTTCTATGAACCCAACAGTGGTTCTATTACTCTGGATGGTGTGAAGATTGAAAACATCTCTCACTCATACTATCATCAGAAGGTACATCATCATTAGACTTAGTAACTTCTTTTTTCTTCCTCCCAGATAGCCTTAGTTGCTCAAGAACCAGTTTTGTATGATGGAAGTATACGCTATAACATTCTATATGGATGTGATTTTGCTACTGAGGACGATATGTTAGCTGCTTCTAAGATGGCAAATGTTCATAACTTTGTTATGGAGCTGGAGAAGGGATATGACACCAACTGCGGAGATAAAGGTGTTCAAATGTCAGGTATTCAATTCAAAATATTTGAGTATTGCAGTATAATTTCACTTCAGGTGGCCAAAAACAACGCATAGCTATAGCACGTGCTCTAGTGAGAAATCCTGCGGTTTTGATACTGGATGAAGCAACTAGTGCTTTGGATGCTGAATCTGAAGCTTTGGTTCAGGAAGCGCTAAACAGGTAATTTGTCTGGAATCATCGAAGTTGATTGCAAGTCTTTGACAGATGCGTCAAAGAGAGAACTGTTTTAATAATAGCTCATCGTTTATCAACGATTGAAAAAGCGGATACAATAGCTGTTATACAGAAGGGTTGTTTAGTTCAGGTAGCATCTCCATTAAAACTTAGTCTAAAAGTTATTTTTCAGTCTGGATGTCATCAAGAACTTATGCTTGATAAGGAAGGACTTTATTACTCTCTTGTAGCTAAACAACTTTTAGCTGCTAAAGTGGGTGAGGAAGACAGTTTGTAAGATCCCTTACTTGGTGCTTTTTTATCATAATTTATTTTTCAATTTCATACTGAAGTATGATATAATTCTATAAGAATAAACTGTTTTAAAATTTGCATTTTAAATGTAAGTCTTGGCAGTTAGATTAGATATCTGTTGAGATCATTCATCTGTCGAGGAAAGTCTGACAATATGATGAGTCTTCTGATCAGGATTCACTTTGAAGCGATTTGAAATTTCTTCCAAGTTCCTATCAGCTTCGCTTAAAGAACTAGCCGATTCTTCTGGTCTATTCTGAAAAAAAAGAACTATGAGCGTGACACAGAAACTACTTGCCTCAACTTTCTTCGTGCTCAATAAATCTAACGCGTATCTTAAGAAACATAAATTAGTATTAGCATATGATGCGTGAACAATACGTGTTTCGATTTCCTATAGCAATAGCATCTCGGATAGTTGGGAAGAACTGATCCTTTGAAACAATATTGAAGAAATTACTCGATTTCATAACTTGTTGTACATCATCTGTAAAACAAAAAAAGGTATTCATTTGTTTATGAATCAATCAGACCATTCACCGAAATGAGCGAGATATTTGTATTTCGATCTTTCAATTCTTTGGCAGTCTACAAATTGCTATAAACATTTGAAAAGTAAACAGTCCTACTTCTTTTAATACTGATATTCCCATATGATCAATATATGATATTCCAGAGCAGTCGATTAGAAGAAAACGAGGAATACTCTCCAATGGAATATTACAGTCATCTAATCCACGTTTATTAGCGCACTCCTAAAAAAGTCAAGTTGATTTCTGACAGATTGATAATACCTTGTTCAGCTCCTCATCCCAAGCATTCATAGTTTTTGAAATGCAACTTTGGAAGCTTAAAAAAATTACCACAAAGAATTTATAATTTTCGATACTTCTCAGCGTTTGTGAATAAGAGAGGAGAATGGAACTTGAACAAAGCCATATTGCCATAATGCTTGAAACCTTCATTATCTGTATCGACAGCCCCTGGCTGTTCAATTACGTAACTCCATCTAGGCCTGAAACATAAAGTTTACGGAATAAAGTAGGAAATTTTTTTTCACCATTGTGTTCGGAATATAACAGACATGATAGCAAACACTAGAGAAAGAACTAAGCCTTCCATGACATCGATGAAAGCAGTACTTAGGAAGGCTACTAACCAAATGAACTGGAACCAATATTTTCATTGGTCATTGTTTTTTTTAAAAACAAACCCAATCAGATTTGCACACTGGCCACAATTTCTTTAAATCACTGAACTTGCGGAACATAGATTGTAATGCAATAACGATGATGGATGCCAGAACGCACTAGAAAACGCTATAGCTTTTAAGAAAACAGATTCTCACCTTAGGAAGCTGCTCAAGTAGTGGGCCGAGAAATAGGATAATTGCCAATAATAAACTACAACTGAACACGGTAGAAAGCTGATTATTTTCTTTAGATAAAAGTAAAGAATTTCTTGGTTACTTGGGTTCTAGTTCCTGTCTTGACACTGACCATTGTTCTTCCCAGAGCTGTGGACACAGGGTAGACCGGGAACATGGCGCCAAGAGTGTCTGCGAATCCAAGAGCATAAAGCTCCTGAAACGGAATTAATAAGTGTGTAACAGAAAAAATGATAAAAAACCTGGTTTGTATCTATCTTATAATTGAGTTTTTTTGCTAACATTTTGGCCATAGAAACATGGATAGCAATGGTAACTACAGCTATTCCAATAGATTGAATCAGACAATCTTTTAGTATGAAGAAGTTTGGTAGCTCTGGGCGAGGTACACCGGCTGGGATATTGCCGACAACCATGACATCATAGCTTTTGCTCAAAGATAGTAAAGGTGAAAGTGCCGCCATTATGATCAACTGCAAGTTTTTTTTTAACTTTTCGACATGCCGGATATAAATGTTACCAATATCAGTTCGAAAGGAATAGGAAGTGTGCATTTCGTTTTCTTGACAACGAATGGAGCAAAGTATTCTTTACCGAAATGCAGAAAGAGTATGGAGAAAAGAGAAATTCCTAATGAAATAAGATTAACTTGTGGTAACAGAGTACACAAGTCGTACAGTCGCTGAAAAGTATATTAAAACACGAATCGAATCAAATGTTACCACAAAAATGTATCCTGGTCCAGAGGCCTTGGGTACATCGACTCCCATTATATCATCAATTTGAGAAATGAGCACATGAACAGCAGCTCCTGTATACAAGGAATTGAAGAATGTTATAAGTATTTCTCAAACCAGTTGTAAATCCAGCTACTAAAGCATCGGAGAGATAAGTCATGAGAAACTGCAATCGGAGAACTCCACAGGCTATCTGAAGAAGATACGAGTAGTCTCGAAAAATCTATTATGGATTTCGCACCTGCCATAAGCCCATGGCAAACGTGAGTGTTGTAGCAACTTCGATTGTTGAAACCGTGTACGAAACCAGCTCTTCTCCGCTCTCTAGAGAGGTGACGTTTCTATAGTTTTCCATTACTTTGTCGTTTGCGACACCTGCCATCAGGGCAACAACAGCGAAAGATCCTGCAGATAAAATCTCGTTATGAATTTTTTTCATAAAAACATTTCAACCTAGTGATGTATGACGTGATGTTCCAAAAAACATGTAGAAGAAAGCCGGGAAGCATGAAGCATAAAGACCATAAACAGGATCAACATGAGCAAGAATAGAGTAGGCGATTCCTAAATGTCTCTGTAGCTTAAAACATTGCTTTCTGAGAACCTTGAGGAACGTGCATGACACCAGTGGTCAAACCGCCTATCACATCAGATGGGAAGTCTGCTCGGAAACTATATTTCGGTAACCAGTCCAATATAGGCATAAAACCCAACAGTGAGTTTAAAAGAGGCCTCCACCCAGTGAAAGCAACACAACTTTTTCTGACCTTTCTAGAAAGAAAAGAGGTAGAACAGCTATTTTTTCATTGATACTTTTTGATAGTGCTGACGACTGGCTTGTCATCATCCTTCTTATGAGCCCCGTACTCATTATCGTACTGCTCCTGTATACAAAAATGCATAGAAAAGTTATAACTATAATTTACTAACCTGGTTCATAGGAGGCCGATCGGGAGATTCAATACAATCTGTCATCCGAAGGCGTTCTGAAAAGGTACCCAACTAATGATAAAAGAGGAGACCAATCACAAACAGTTTATTATTGACAACATCAACAAATATCTGCAAAGCTAAAAAAAGCATAACTGAACTAACCTAATTCCATATTAGTCATTGTTGTTAGAATTATTGAACGATATTCGTTAACAAGTCATTAGTATGTTAAGAGGCAGAGCTATTTAGTCGACGCAAAGTAAACAGAGGAGCTAAAAAAGAAAAAAAAATGTCTCAAAAAAAGCATTAAAAAACTTGAAAAGTTAAATAAAAATTATAAAACGAATACTTAAGATCTAACTGATACATAGCGAAGAAACATAACGAAAACATATAAACAGAAGCAGTGAGAATAGTGAACGAGATGAACTGAGCAAATAGTTAACTTCTCCTTATCAGTTCAATCTTCGAATTTGGTATTTGAACAACTGAGGAAACATTCAAAGAGCATCGAATGATGGTGAAAGGACAACGCTGATGATGCCGGTACTAAAACTTACAAAATAACATTCCATAACACCCGAAGTTCCACAAAGGGATTTGCATATATAAAGTGAATCCATCCTCCACCCACTAAATATCATAATATTACCATAAATGATTTGATCCATTCTTCATGATGTTTTTGATATTTGATCCCAAATGAAGGAAGTATGATGTGATTCAAAGGGCACTACACTAGACGTCAAATGAATAACAACTCTTTGAACTTGACCGCATTCAATAATGTTTTTGAAAAAATTTCCATTTCCATTTCTCATCGAGAACTTTCTCTCCTTCTAATTATTTCTTGGATAAGTTCGTGTATTGAAACAAATCCTTCCCTTATATGATTGCTATAATGATAGGTGGTCGTTGACTAAGCGATGGCTACTCCTGACCAGTTTTCAGATTTCAGTTTTCAAGATTGAAAGGTAGTTTGCATCCGATTTCACACAAAAGAGCCAAGATTGAAAAGATTAATAGCATCATCATATGATTCGTTTCTTCGGAGAAAAGTGATTATTGAAAATACTCCTGATATTACTATTAAAAAACGAGAGAATTATCACATGTAATCGCATTATGTTTCAAGCAAAGGGAACACTCCCTCCATGAAAAACCGTGATAACAGAGAGTATTGTTGTGAATGATATCAACTCTTTATCAACTATTAGTTAGATTTTCGAAGTGTCCAAGTGAATATGAGTGTGAACTAATCGCTTCCTTCAAGTTCTGATTATAAAACAACAAATGACTTTTAGCCAGTTTCACAAAGTTGCAATGAATCGAAAACGAACTGAAAAACCGAACTTGCTAACACATATCCTTTGTTTGCGTTTCTTGGACAAAAAGTAGATTTTCTACAAAAATTAAAACAGCATGAAATCCGTATTTCATACACTTCTCAATAATTAGAGACAACACGACAGATTTCTTTCACTTATGTCTTCAATGAGAAAAGTCAATGGTAGTTCATTAGTTCATCTATTGGTAGAATCCAAATTTTGTAAAGGCTGTTCCGAGAGATAAGAATTTAGAAAAACCTTGGCTTCACAAATGGGCCTGTTACATGGACAGGATATTAGGAGGGGGCTAGTCTGCTATGGAGGCCCGCCTCTTCATATTAGCTGGAATACTATAAAAAGAAGTATCGACACAATAATGTGTTCTTCCCAAGCATAACTTCTTTTACAGATCCCATTTTTCCATTCTTATACTTTTCTTCCAGATGGTTAAAGCTATCGTTACCTTCGGAACCACATGTGGTTTATTGACTATCATTGGATGTCTTTGGGCCGGAAGTGTCATCATTGGTGAGATCAACGAAATGTACGATGACGTCATGGGAGAGCTCGGAGGATTCAGAGTAAGTCTAGAACAATCGAGACTTCATCAATACATACTCTTTAAGAACGTAGCTGATGACACATGGGGAGAACTCATGGTTGTACGTCGCGGAGGTGAAGAGAGTCCACTCGATTACGCTCGTAGCATTTTCGGAAGAAATAAGAGAAGCAGTAGCCAATGCAGCTGCGGACTGCCAGCTAATAACTGTCCACCAGGACCACCAGGAGCTCCAGGAGCTCCAGGAGAACCAGGAGAGACTGGACCTGACGGAAAGAACGGCCCAACTGGACTTCCAGGACTCGTTCTTGCCACTCCACAAGACTTCCCCAAGGGATGCATCAAGTGCCCACCAGGACCACCAGGACCACAAGGACTTCCAGGACAAGAAGGATTCCAAGGAATGCCAGGAAAACCAGGAGAGCTCGGACAACCAGGACGCGACGGAGAACCAGGACACCCAGGAGAGATTGGTTCCGATGGAGAACGTGGACAAGATGGACAACCAGGAATGCCAGGACCACCAGGAAAAGATGGTCTCACTGGAAAGGGAATGCCAGGAATGCCAGGAAGACCAGGACTTCAAGGTCCACGCGGAACTCCAGGAACCCCAGGAGAACCCGGTCAACAAGGAGACGCTGGAATGCAAGGACCATCCGGACAACCAGGAAAAGATGGCTTCAATGGATTGGACGGAAACCCAGGACAACCAGGACCACAAGGAAATGTTGGAGGAGACGCCGAGTATTGTCCATGCCCACAAAGAAGAAGAAGAGTTTAAACTGGACTTCTTCACGAAACATCACCCAATACTACTCAATAAATATTACAACTCAATACAACTGATATTTACTGTTAAAAACAGTTCAAAAATAGCGAAAACATAGTTGAATCATATTTATTACATGAAACAAGCATTTATCGAGTGATGAGAAAACCTCACGCTAAAGATCACGTTATCTTACTGGCAAGAATATATAACTAAATACAGTGTTTTCCGAGAACATGCAGAGACGTATCAGCTTCATAGAATCAATCGTTCACCTATCTGAATCATTACGTTTTATGAAAAGAATCTGTGAAGAGACATAACTAATCTTCGGCTGATCCAACAATTCCGGTAGTTCTCTAGCTTACAGAGCGTCGACGTTAGTGCCATCAAGTTTTCAATCTTTTAGGGTTTTAAATTGTTTTATTTCAAATCAACTTTTGCTGATGTGATGTTTCAAACCATTATATATACAGATATCGCAACAAACTGGTATTATGAACTATCACAGAAGAATTTCAAAATATAGAGGATCGTATACGATCCATAAACAAACGGAACTGTTCAAACTTTCTCATCAGGTACAAGAATCTCGTCAGAAACTTCCCCTAAAGTCCCGTCCAAAAGTACTGTTTGTACTTGGAGATGATGATCACCAGTTCCAACGTCAGTGACTTTAGCACTTGTTCCTTTCACTGTTCCTATCACACTTCCATCCATTATCAAATTGTAGCCTGAAACAATCTTCAACAATGCAAGCGAATGTGAACAACGATACCTTTTACGAATGATGCATGCCAGTTCAAACCAATTTCCTCGTCATTACATTGTCTCGATGCTCGTTGAATGATTGGTATAGGACCCTTGGCTTTTAATTCCAATGAAGCAAGTTTCTCTTCCAAATTTCTGCACCGCTCTTCCAAAATGCCATTCTTTCTGTGCAGCTCGTTCATTCTTTCCTACAACACTAACAAACTGCTGTTAAAGTCATGAACCAACTTTATTTATGTCATCCATTTGTCGCATGGTCTCGCTTATGATGTCTTGCACCATATAAAGCTTCACATTACTCTTGTACAGATCATCAATGACAGCTTTCATCTGATGAATCTCTTCCTTGTCCTATAAAAACAATCGATTGCTACCATGTCCAAATAACAATATGTACTTCTTTCGTGAACGTAGAATCAAGGACTTTCGCTTTTTGTTGTTGGATTTCAGGAGAAAGCGTTTTCAGAGTTGGTGTCAACTGGAAAAAAGCTCATTCGATTAACCACAATTTTTCTCTTACAGTCCCTAGACTAGTTTCTTCAGAACTCCGATATTCATGACATATGTCTAATTGCGATCTATGCGAATCACTTGAAAAGTAAGCTTCAATCAATCAAATATATGACACTTACCTCGACAAAACAGGAGTGTTTAAAGAAATAGAAGAATTAGAATCGTGAAAATCAGTATGTCTTGAGCCATGTGCACTATTGAGAGAAATGTTCATAACTTTGCTTTTCGTTTCCAATGTCCGAGGACAGTGGTTTTCTTTCCCGAGCTGAGCTATATAGTTACCAAAAGGAGAGTGAACCGATAAATCATCATCTGTAGTCATAAGCTCAATAGCATCCTGAAAACGAGAAAATCACAAAACCGTAGATAGTTTTCTGGCACATTATCGGATGACTTTAAGGACGTCTTACACGCAGCAAAAGATTTTCTCCTATTTTCTTTAGCCTTCCGATCATGCACACTTCGTGAGGTTTTAGACGATGAAGCAGACATAGCACGCTTTTCCTCCGGTAAGTTGGAACAAGTTTGAGAACGAGCAAGCATCATCAGAAAAATATTATTTAACAACAAGATCATAATCATAAGTTACCTTGTACAATTTGTCATCTTTGGGCATCCGTCCACTATTATCCATTTGAACAGAATGTTCCTTGAGGTAAGCTGCTAGTGTTTCGTTGTCTCCTAATGACGAGGAGAACTTGCTGTGTAAGCCTGTTAAATTCCCACGCAATGTCAAGAACTCAGCTGAAGAGTTTTAATTAAATACGATTAACTATGCAAATACCATTAAATGATTCAATCTCTAACACGTCCATGTTGTTAATGAAGAGAATGCATGGAAATAGAACAACCAAAAATGATTTGTAATGATACTCTTCGAAAACAGAGAGACATGGTGTATCTTCTAAACAAGAGATTCATAAAAATAAAAACAATGTTGTTCCAACTTAGTGAGAAGTTCGTGATATCTTTCATCTTCTCCAAGTGATAAACTTCACAGAGGTTCATAATGGGATTGGCTAAAAGCAGTTTATTGTTGAAACGTTCTATCAAGGTTAACAAGTAAGAATACCTGAGATATCAAGAACTTTAAGATTAGATTTACATTGAGTAGTATGCTGAAAGAAAGACTATTATGAATGCTTGACGTTTCAGAAACTTACTTTTAAAGATTTAATTCTGTTATTAGCTAGAAGCAGAGTTTCTAAGTTGGGCATGTGTGTAAGATCAGGGAATTCAGAAATCATGTTATCAGATAAATCGAGGAAACGTAAATTGTTGAGTTTTGAACACGGAAAGTTCTGATCACATGTTTACATTATGGAAACAAATTGGAATTTATACCTTGATGGAGTTTTTACACAAGCGAAGAGAGCTTAACGCTATGAAATCCTGTATTTTGCTAGTAATTCTGATTTCATTATCACATGCAATAATCGTATCAAGCTTACGGGATGAAGGAAGCAAAGAAGACAAAGAAGTAAAACTATTCTCTGATATGTTGATCTAAAAATATGTTTCAACTAAATCGAAAAAGCTGGTTATCACCTTCCGACAAATATTGAACAATGAAAGATTACAAGCCTTCAGATTATTTTTCGAAACGTCTAACTCTTTGGTAATAGAATATTCATGTTGAAAATCAGACGACAAAGCGGTTAGACCAATGTTTGATAGGTCTAAAAACCCTTCTGATGTAACAAATGCAGTCGCGTTCTCAGTACTAAAAATCTGTATTCACCCAAATAACAAGCCTAATTACCGTGAACATGATCTACTCTGTCTTTCCTCTACAGAAGTAGTACGCCCAGAATTCACTGCTTCCTCCGTCTAACATTATACACTATTCAGAACGCATTTGCGTGTTTACATACCTCGCTTCCTTCCGAAACTGTCATGTGGGGAAAATTATATCAGGTTCCTTGAGCTTTAGTATAACTGAAGAATGTTGATGAAGAAACGTTGAATTTATTTTAAAAGTCAATTGAGGTCTCAATAAAGCCAGTACATGAAACTTTGGAAAGCTTTGTTTGAAATTCGCGCCATAACAGGTACTGTAGTTTGTCATTGGAGCGAACAAAAAGTTTTTACTTGGAAATGTATTTCATGCCGTAAATTACTGACAATAATTACTTACGTATTGTCGCTCTGATTACTGAATGGCTAACACAAATGAACGTTTACCCATCTCATCATTAATAATGAAACGACACACTAATGTGGGTTATGTAGATGATTCTAAATACAAGGATTTTCCAAACTTCATTAGTTCATCCGGAGGCTTTTGTAATATAATGACCTGTAAGATAAATTTCGATCGAAAACCCACATTGTTGGTGTTCTTTGTTGATTCTGTATAATTATGCTAATTCAGTTCAGCCATTGGGAAGTTTTTAAAGCCAGAAGTTCCTGTTCGATGGCTCATTCGAGAAATGTATATACTTAAACGATTGAAACATCAGAACATCATTTGTTATGTTGGACACACCTATCATAAGTTTTACGGATATGGATTGTTTGTCGAGTACATGGATTGTGGTGATCTCCATAACAGTAAGATAATTCATGATTTATATGAACACTTTTCCTAGTTATTGCTGACCCGACAATTAAGTACACGTGGGATCAGTTAGGATCTTGGTCAGGACAGCTTTTATTGGCTTTAGAATATTTAGAATGCAGAGGAATTGTTCACTCAGATCTTAATACAAAAAAGTAAGGAGGGAAAACGCGAATTTCAAGTTTTGCTTCCAGCATTTTATTAAAAAACAGCATGAAAATTATAAAAGTAGCTGATTTTGGATCAGCCCGGAATACAAATGAGAGAATGATTACTGAAAACATGTTCCATTATTGTAACCCTTCGATCTTCACTGGAGAGCCGCTAACATCTAAATCTGATATTTTTGCTTTTGGCATGATATTGTGGTGGATGGTTTACAGAAGGTTACACAGCTCTCCTGACTTCAGCCGTTAACTAATCGAGTTTAGGGATCCGTTTTATGGCTTTGACACTTTAGAATGCAACTATTTACTAGTTGGCGGTGTTCGTCCTAGAACCGAAGAAAACCAGGGTCTTGCTCAGATTTGTAACAGGTTAATCATTACCTTTGTCGAAAAAACATTATTTACAGTTGCTGGAAAAACGACCCTGAACATAGGATGAATGCTTCACAAATTTTGCATAGATTCTTCTGATACTTTTTGATGAGAATCTTTTTGATATTATTCCTTAACCTTTACATGATCAGGTCTACACCAGAGAGTAATAATGTTTAGCAATATCACTACAAATCTTTCTATACGCTATATATATTTATGTCATCTCGATATTGATAAATTTCCTGTTGTGCAGTGAAACAATGAAGGACACATGAAGGAACCGGAACAAACTTTCGGTTCCAATAGTTTGAACTGAAAAAAACAACAAATGTTACAAACCACAAAATGCGTGTACAATTCCACCCATCCATTACATATACGATGTATATAAAATGCTCTCTTGGCATCAGCCTCATTGGCTCAGGGGCAGAGCGTCTGTCTAGTAAACAGAAGGTCGCTGGTTCGATTCCAGCATGAGGCATCCTTTTGATGGGGCTGACCCACCGATAGACCTCAGAAAACCTGGTAAACATTAGGGCCCATTATGAGAGAAGTTTCTGTTCGAAATCAGCTGAATAAATGCTGAAAATGAATGCAAACAGTGCGTTTTTATTCTCAAATCAGTATGAGGAGTTGTTATTAGATGGGTACTGTTACCTATAGCCCCATCGAACTATCATTGGGTCACCATGATGAAAGTTACATTTCGAAATCAGCTGAATAAATGCTGAAAATGAATGCAAACAGTGCGTTTTTATTCTCAAATCAGTATGAGGAGTTGTTATTAGATGGGTACTGTTACCTATAGCCCCATCGAACTATCATTGGGTCACCATGATGAAAGTTACATTTCGAAATCAGCTGAATAAATGCTGAAAATGAATGCAAACAGTGCGTTTTTATTCTCAAATCAGTATGAGGAGTTGTTATTAGATGGGTACTGTTACCTATAGCCCCATCGAACTATCATTGGGTCACCATGATGAAAGTTACATTTCGAAATCAGCTGAATAAATGCTGAAAATGAATGCAAACAGTGCGTTTTTATTCTCAAATCAGTATGAGGAGTTGTTATTAGATGGGTACTGTTACCTATAGCCCCATCGAACTATCATTGGGTCACCATGATGAAAGTTACATTTCGAAATCAGCTGAATAAATGCTGAAAATGAATGCAAACAGTGCGTTTTTATTCTCAAATCAGTATGAGGAGTTGTTATTAGATGGGTACTGTTACCTATAGCCCCATCGAACTATCATTGGGTCACCATGATGAAAGTTACATTTCGAAATCAGCTGAATAAATGCTGAAAATGAATGCAAACAGTGCGTTTTTATTCTCAAATCAGTATGAGGAGTTGTTATTAGATGGGTACTGTTACCTATAGCCCCATCGAACTATCATTGGGTCACCATGATGAAAGTTACATTTCGAAATCAGCTGAATAAATGCTGAAAATGAATGCAAACAGTGCGTTTTTATTCTCAAATCAGTATGAGCAGTTGTTATTAGATGGGTACTGTTACCTATAGCCCCATCGAACCATCATTGGGTCACCATGATAAAAGTTTCTTTTCGAAATTATCTGGAACTATGCAAAAAAATGAAGCCGAACTGTTAGTTTCCAGATTCCAATCAGGATGAGGAGGTGTAACTGTAAACTCATAGCTTCATGTTCTCCCATCGAAGCCTCATTGGCTCAGGGGCAGAGCGTCTGTTTAGTAAACAGAAGGTCGCTGGTCCGATTCCAGCATGAGGCATCCTTTTGATGGGGCTGACCCACCGATGGACCTCAGCAAACCAGGTAAACATTAGGGCCCACTATGAAAGAAGTTTCTGTTCGAAATCAGCTGAAAATATGCTGAAAATGATGCTAAACTGTGTGTTTTCACTTTCAAATCAGTATGACGAGTTGTAAGTTAATGGTTATGGTCCCATGTAGCCCCATCGAAGCCTCATTGGGTCACCATGATGGAAGTTACTTTTCGAAATCAGCTGAATAAATGCTGAAAATGAATGCAAACTGTGTGTTTTCACTTTCCAATTAGTATGAGGAGTTGTAAGTTGATGGGTATGGTCCCGTTTAGCCCCATCGAAGCCTCATTGGGTCACCATGATGGAAGTTACATTTCGAAATCAGCTGAAAATCTGCTGAAAATGAATGCAAACTGTGGGTTTTCATTCTTAAATCAGTATGAGGAGTTGTTATTAGATGGGTACTGTTACCTATAGCCCTATCGAACCATCATTGGGTCATAAAAATGAAAGTTTCTTTTCGAA